TAAGACCCTAAGTCCATGTATCAGTCCGTTGTAATTAGTTCTATTACTAAAAGAATCAGGAATTACATCTGTACTCCTTGAATTCTAAGCAAGGTTACGATGCAGCTATTACTATTGTGCAGAAAAGATCAAATTTGAAACAGTCGTTAAGTTCGATGCTTCCTCTTGTCATAAAGTAACTTAAAACACTTTTAAAGCAATTAACAGTGACAATCCTCGTCATAAACTTAAGGACAGGTCTATCCTAAACGAAGGGAATAATGGGATATTTTGTCATCCACATTCGTAATTACTCTGAGCTAATATGTCTGAAGTTTCCTCTTTGATATCCCTGATCTTTAGCCCTTTCACGAGTAAGCAATTTAAGGCAGCCTTAACACGACTTTACATCTAACTCACTAGCGCCACCACGGTTCATATGTGCAATAAATATATCGCAAATATCGTATTTTTCATCGAATTATTTTCTAATTTTACTGATATAATCTTCGAATTTTCTTCTTACTACGTGAATGGATTAATATAGCCTGTGTTTCATAAATAAGGTGCACGCATGGATTCTAAAAGTCTGATTAATAATACCTAGATACAATGTACTCTTGGCTTTATTCATAGTGCAATTCATTCATAGTGTAAGTTTATCGAATTGCTAGATACGACATGATGCTTTGTTACTGAGCTAATTTGATAACGATATGGTGAAAGATAATAACTGAATTCGTGTACCTAGATACGAGACATATGCTTTAATGACTCATAGTCACAAATTTGGTATACTGTTCTCGTAACTCAGATTATAAAGCTAATCTCAGCTCCAACAAGAATAAACTTGTCAGCTTCGTGATCTACCTAATTCGTTTAGGTTGTTCTTGAATGACAGGCTAACCGTATATCAACCATCTAAATACTACTACTAGTACATCAACTACGCGATGTTTCTGAAAACTATATTTCACAGGTGTTTGTCTCTTTAACGAAGTCTATACTGGTCGCTCTTAATTTTCATTTGTCTTTGTAAATCATCGTTAGTGACTACGTTACACAGGTTGACCAATTTGGCATCGTTTGGCCAGATCAGTTTATCTCTGCCTACGCGAGATGTGCTTTTGGTCGTAGTAAGTTATCGTAATAGGACCCAACTTTGTGTTGTCTAACAATATTCAAAATAAGCCTGTATAGGCACGTTTATTTCCTGTATTTCGAAAATGTGGATCTGGCGAAACTATATTCGATGGAAGCTGTATTTCTCAGGTATGTGGTAATATTTAGTGATGCTCCTATATTTGTTTCTATTGTCAAGAAGATAATACAGGCTGATCCAAAGTATCTAGCCCTTAACACTAAAATCACCAATCTATAATATGCTTCTAAATGTATGTAGGTAATAATAATTAAAGAGTAACTATGAAACTAATTAGATACGTGTAATTACACTAATACCTTAATAAAATTCAAAATGTCTGGAAATAGCTTGACTAATTTAATAATTCTGGTATTAATAACGCTTGGAACCCATGCCTAGTACCATAGTTTCAAGTTACATGTCAGTATCGTGCCCAATTTCTTAGAAAGATCTAATTTTTATGGAGAAAGTTCATCTACGAAGCTGAATCTATTGGATATTCCTATTTTTATTCATTATTGTCTACCATGTACACGACCATGTAGTCGATAAAATTGTATAATCCAAAGAATTATTGTGAACATTGGCTGGAGGAGGAAGTTGTGTTGTACCAGGCTTTTTGGGTATCAGAGACAGACTTGAAAGTAGGTTTGTTACCCTAACGATGCTGTTTCATACCAGAGGCTGTGTTTATAGCAAAACTCTTATTTTAATACCTTTATTTTCAATCATTCTACAGACTTTATTATTTCGTATTACGACTGCAACTCCGAAGGTTAAACATGCCTCGCCATTCTAACCTTACTTAAGTTATATATCTAAATGCAAAAGTACAGAAAATACTTCGCTAACGTTTCACATTTAACTATTGTACAGTTTAGTTATAATAAATAATCACTAGTCACAAATAAATAATCTATTTCAAATTATATTCGCGATCTGTAAAAATAAAAACTAATCACGCAATATTAAGCTGATGTGTTCTTGACAATTAGAGAAATTCGATTGATTGGATGCAACAGATGCAATAACACGCGATTGTCGAAAATAACGTAATTTTTACACGAGTAATTCTGAACATAACCAATCCATCTTTGACGCACTTGAAATCCATGCTTATAGGCCCTTGATGACATATCCTGACATAGTAATAACATAAATTGTATAAAAACTCTAAGTTACTAAGTTAAAAATAGTAATAATAAACTAAAAAATAATAAAAAGATTTTGATTTTGTCTGCGCCAATGTTTCATTGCCCTCTCCTATTTAGTCTACACGATGCAATATAATCCTTTTTGAAAATGTGATTCTTCCAATTAATTACGAAAATTATTGTGATCTATCTTTACGATTTTGTTAAAGATGGATTTATAATATTATAGCCAATCAGAGCTTCATTCCTCCCAACTACCAATTTATCAGTATACGATACTTATTTTTTGTCAAATCAAGTCTCCTAACGCATTTACCACATTTACACATTTACCATGGTGGTCATTGGTCCATTGGTCATCAATGTCAGATACACTGATAATGAGCGGTAGCCAAATAAATATGTCGTACGTTACATTCTTGTAACAGACTCAGTAATATAATTAAATAATATTTCATTCTAAAATAATATGATCTATGATTGACGTGAACAAAAATCTATCATTTAGTAGATATCACGTCTGTACAGTAAATTCTATCCTATTTACAATTTATAATTACCCTTCAACTCTTCATGTGGCTGTTGACGCATTGTTCATCGCGTTTTCGAGATATTGCTATCTATATTTAACAAATTTCGAAAAAGATTTGAACGTAAAAAAAATGAAAAATTTTGATAAAATAATAGTCATTATTCTTTTTATTCCCTAAATGTGGCTATCTCTAGCTTCCTAGATGGTAAACAACAATTAGAGTGCTAACTTTCAATTGCTTCGTCTTATGATTTTAATGCTGATATGTGATTGTCGCGCCATCTATAATCTTTCTTAATGTCACCTTCAATCGTGCTTGGATCACCGTCAAAACGAGGTGCATTTACATGGTGTCTTATAAACTCATTAATTCCAATCTAGTTTATGTATGTATATTATTTCTAATAATCTATATATCTATAATAATATAATCATTTGAGATTATAATCAGCACGACACTTTTCAAAGGTAAAATAACGTAATGAAATTTCTAACATAAAACAAAGCTTCGTTACTATGAATTAAAGAGTGGAATATGTCATGGAATATTAACTAATCATTCCATCGTTTAATTTCCTTCGTTAACTTTTCTCATTACCACCTACGAATAGCCGTTAATTTATTGATAATTGTAGATATATTCATTTATATATTATTAATGAAAGCTATTGGTCCTATTATTGAGATAATTCAGAATTCTCCTCTTTAAAGTGATTGTCAAACCAAGTTTCAAATGTTTTTTTGTTTAATTTCGTATGCTGTCACTTTTAATTCAATCCTATTTTGACTAGTGAATGCAAGTTTAATGTTAAAGACTTACTTGAGTAGGGATGTATTGAAAGTAGTTGTGGCGACAGATATGAAATGGCAAGTCTGTGAACGCAATGGCATCTGGCGTGAATTAGAATATTCTTCCTCTGGAGAATTCCACGCTCCCACACTTTTGTGCCGTTGAGATACATATCCCTATGTGTCATTTTTCTGGACCGCTTGGATACGGACAGATCGATGTATGAACCCTTGACAATCGTTGAATTCCTGTATTTAAGCTTGAATTATTTGAATCTCCGATTCGTCTCCAACGCTAGGTTATCCGGTTTAAAAGATTAATGTTCAGATTACAACATGAATATATTTATTGATCGATATTTCATATTAGCAATCCTGCTTATTGTAACATCGATAATATTTCCAAACTGTGAAATTATCCAAAGATATATATTTTTAACACGAATATCAAAGTTCATTTATAATGATTTACATGTTTTATCAAAATATGTCTGTGTTACAATTTTATATAGAAGAATAGTGTTGTACAGTGTTTTGTACAGAATAATGTTTTAAAATCCAGTGATTAGTTTACCTTGAGGAAGTAATTATTCTACTTTTAAGTCTTACCACTCTTTCGTTGCACTTTGCACTTATTCCGCTATACCTCTTTACACGTCGAAAGTTTAAAAGTAAACAATTACAAATTTCTGATAGATTCGGTTCCCGTTAATCCATTGAAAGTATTATGTTATTTTCATTTGAAACTTACTGGTTTTAAATATTTAATTAGGTCATTCAAAACAATAATTAATGAAACTATGTAAATAGAACCTTCAGATAATCACGAAACTTCCGAGATGTAAATTTCTTAAAATCCGCTTTTACTCGAAAATGGCCAGTATTATCGATAGTATCTTAAACCAGCAACGTATACTAACTACTAGTAAATATATATTCATACCTGGTCCCAAATCATGAACATTTAGAAATTTAATATGTTCATATATAATATATAATAACATATAATAGTCATTTTTTATCGATTGCTATGTACTCATTTAGAAGTATTTATAAAAATCTATCATATCAACTAAGAACTTCGCAAGATTAATATAAACATAATAAAAAGTACTATAATAGGAAGAATAGGATATAATAATAAAGGAAAAACAAAATTTACTAATAAACAAAATATTTAATCGTGTTTAATAATAAATCTAAAACATTAATGAATTATTGCTTTGTTAACTCAAATCAAAGAATAACTGCTAAGTAACTTATAAATAATGAACTAAAATAAACAATATTATTTTAAAAAAGGAATAAAAAAATGAGTTTTTTATGTTTTGATATTATCTATAAATGTATTTAAAGCAAAAATCCCCAGTCTTAAAGAACTTATGTTTCTATATGACCAAATTTATGTTTTTACAGACATAACTGCTTTTTTTGCAGCTTCATCCAAATTATTTGCTGTAACAATTGATAAACTGCTCTCTGCAAGAAGTTTCTTTGCTTCTGTTACATTAGTACCTATTTTAAAAATAACAATGTAATATCTATTAAATTATATAATAATAAAAATAAATAAATAGATAAATAATATACTATAATTACAAGAACAAAATTATAAATTAAATAACAAGAAAATAATTACCTTCTAGTCTAACAACAAGTGGAATTTTAAGCTGTAAATTATGATATGCTGCAATGATTCCATTTGCTATTGTAGCACAATTTACAATACCTCCAAATACATTTACAAGAATAACTTTTACTTTTGGATCTATGTATTAAACAAAATAATTAAAATTACTTTTGTAGAAAATACATGAATTTAATTTAGAAAAATAATAAAAAATAATACCTGATAGAATTTTCAATTGAACTATTTATTGTCATAATGATAATACTCGAAAATATTTTTTTAAATTTATATATACCATAAAAATATAATATAAAAGAGAAACATTAGAAACATTATAATAAACATGTTTTTTCTGTTAGAAGAAATAATTTAATTTCTTATCTCAATTTTGATAATAATACATACCTTCACTGAGAATTCTAAATGCTTGATAAACCTGATCCTCTTTAACATTTCCACCCACATCCAGAAAATTTGCTGGAGAGCCACCATTTAATTTAATTATATCCATAGTAGCCATAGCCAAACCCGCACCATTAACTATATGTAATGTATGTAATATATAATTTTGAATACTATATTGAATCAAAAATAATGTTCTGTTTAAAGTACTCTATGTAAATATGTAATAACCAAGAAATAAACAATGATTATTTACATGATTATTCCCTTCTTCTAATATTACTGACATTATTACTATTATATATTGTACACTATACCTAAACATCCTATGTTACCATCCATACCAATATAATTCAAATTAAAACGTAATGCATCTGCTTCTCTAGGATCTTTTGTACCATTATCCTCTAAAGCAAATAAATCCTGATGTCTAAATTGTGCATTATCATCAAATGCTATTTTTGCATCTACTGCTATAACTTGTTTATCTGTAGTTTCGACCAATGGATTAATTTCAACTTGTAAAGCATCAATATCTACAAATAGTTTCCACAAATTTTTTAACTCAAATATTGCTTTCTGTTGTATTGTTGAATCCATAAAACCAATAAACATGCTAACATCTTTAGCAATTTCATCATCAATTCCATAATATATATCAAGAGGTATAGTTTTTATTAATTCTGGATTTTTTTCAGCAACTGTTTCAATATCCATACCACCTGCTGGTGAAGCTACTAATACAGGCCCATTGTGTTGTCTATCCATGAGTATACAAATGTATGTTTCACGTGCAATATTTACAGATTCTGCTATCATAATTTTTTGTACTAATATACCATCTTTTGAAGTTTGTTTTGTAATAAGACGATGACCTAACATATTTTTCACAACATCTATAACAGCTTTGCGACTATTAAAAAATACATAATAAATAATATCTATTTATCTTCATATCATATATTATATTATCTACACTTACTCCTTTGTAAGATGTACACCGCCTTTAAAACCATTATCAAACCATCCCTTTCCACGACCACCTGCTAATACTTGAGCTTTTACAACATACTCATCCGCATCTATGAAAATAAATAAAATTATCTGTATTCATTAAATATATGTAATGTACATCAAACAAACATATAAAAAACCTTAATATAAATTATTATGCTATAGCTTTATCTAAAAACAGTTCATTACTTCAGCTCAAGTTTTAATTTTGTTAAAATTAATTTAATAATTATTATTTTTTTGTAATATACACTGCAATTAATCCTACATAGATTAAGAGTTACTGCTATTATTATAAATAAACAATATTAATATATGTTATTTCATATATCTCATATATATATTACGTTTCATATATTTGAAATTACTTTATAAAGCAAAATTAAATAGTTACAAATAAAGCATAATCTTTAGGTGGTAGTTTTAAACATTTCTAAATTAACATTATTTTTTTTACATAATGATACATCTTCCAAATGTTTGTTAATTCTCTTTCAAATGAAAATTAATATTTCAAAACTCTTTATACCATCTAGTATGTATATACATACATAGACACACATACATAGATGATTATAAAAAATGTTTATAATGAAAACAATTCAAATAAATAAATATTTTAAAGATCATCATACAAATTTTATAATATATTTTGTACTATATACTACAGTATCTACTAATTTATCCAAGAATTCATTTCAAAGTACTCCGTTACAAAGTATATATTTATTACATATAGAAAAACTATATATTTTCAATAATTTAAAAAATAATGTGTAACACAATTAGTGAACTATAGTATAAATTGTTTTATATGGAAAGAAAGTGAAAATTTATATAATACATCAGAAAAATATTAATAAACTTATGTTATATAATTTATCATTGTATAATACCATTAAATATAAACATAATTTTATATTGATCATTATAAATTTCCTTTCTGTATAATATAGAACATGTTACATTAAAATAAAAAACATATAGAATAATAATTTATAATATTCAAACTATGCATCTAGTTTTCATTATTTTAACATAATTGTTTTACATTTATATCATAATAATATATCTAAATCATATATTTATATAATTAATAATAATAGACAGTACAACCAATAATAATAATATTATTGTATCGTAAAGTAATAAAAAGTTTGATTTACTTAAAGCATATTTGAAGTATTTAAAATAAATAAATATATAAATCATATTTCGTAAATTCAGTAAAAAATATATCACATAACAACATAATTATTTTAATAATTACAAACTATAAAATATAGACTTAAACCATAATTTTTTTACAACTTTACATAACCAATAAATAAAGTAAATAGATTAGAAATAGAAGAAAATACTAACGCAATTTTTGTAAAGCAGAATTTGCTTTATTTAAATCATCCACAATAGCAAAATTTTGTACAGAAACCCCACAATCTCTTAAAAGTTCCTTACTCTGATACTCGAGTAAATTTAAATTTCTTGTTTGCTTAATATTCAATATTATAGTTTTATTCACATGAATTGAACATAATTTTCGGCTAGCAAATCGCAACATATTTAAGTTTAGAAGTCAAACTTTACAAAAGAACGGTGAAAAATATTCTATTATATTTCTACGACAATTCACGAACCACAGTCATTAACATTAATTCAAGATAAAGTTTATCTTTACAAAATATATTTACAACAATTTTTTACAAAACGAATTATCATTTACGTTTCAAGAATAATCATTGGTTTGTAAAATAACTAAAATAAAATTACATAAAACATAATCTCAAATATAACCGATTATCTCTTATAACCTCTATAATGAACCAAATATACTTTCAGTAACTTCGCGTCTATGCATTTATGAGACATAATGACACTATACGTGTCTTAATAATGAATTAGAAAAATGATTAGAAATTTATTCATGTATCTCTTTAAATCAATAATATATATAATAGTTAAAAGAAATAGTTTAAATTAATGATCTTTTTTTAATACAATGAAATACAATAATTAATAGCATCTTTTCAATTTGAATTTATCAAAAATGATTTATAAGATTTGAAATATACATATGCTGTAAAAATTATATATTCAACGATTAATGCAAAATACTTAATATTATAAACAAGAAATGTTTTCTTTTAGTTATATAAAATAATTTATAATTATTATATTTTCAATTTTAGGAAATTTAATAAAATATAAATAATAAACTAGTTTTTAATGAAAAAGACATACAAGATTTTATTTATTATTAATGTATTAGTATAAAAAGGTATATATTCTATTCTTACAAACTAGACATTCTTACATAAATAAATTACAGTTATAAAAATTCATTAATTAATATAATTTTGATATCTTTAGGAGACAAATTGAATTATATAGATAACAAATTTCTTTTATAAAGTACTATAAAAATTAGCATTAATAACAAATTTTTATAAAGCATTATAAAAATCAGCATTAATAATAGATTTTTATAAAGTATAAAGAAGTAACAGAATTTCTGTATTATTTTATGAGATTCTTCTCAATGAAGCTTTTTATTATTGTCTACATAAGAATATTACCTTAAAGTAGTTTAGAGTGTATTAAAAAATATTAATATGATAATTATTATTTACAATTCATTATTTGGATATTTATGGACGGATAGATGTAGTTTTTCATATAAAAATTTGTAGTTAAAAAAAGCTTTTCTGTAATTAATTAAGTAATTTATAAAATAACATTAATTTATATAAAAATTTGTTATGTGTCTACAGTAAATTACTTAATACTTTCAAATGAATAATTATTAAACTGATAAATATTCTTGAAAAAACAATTAATTATTAAAAAAATTGTCTTTTTAAATGTTATTCATATTTCATATTCATTTATATTGATATTCAACACATTCATACTAACATTAGTATTTTAATGTAATTTATGATAAGTATATTTGTTCAATGTAAAACTTATGAAGTATTACAATGAGCAGTATTCTATTTTTATAGCAGTGTATTACATTAGCTGTTTAACCTTAATGTGTTATTTTATTTATAAAAATGTCACATATTATTCATATTGTCTAGTACTGCTAATTAGATTTCATTTAAAAAAGTTTAATCAATAATAATATTATAATCTGTATCAAATATTACTGAACAAATTAATGGCCTCAAACCAGAAAATCATAATAATTATTTAAAATTAAATGTATATAATATAAATAATTATAGATAAACAAATGTATTATATAATACATTTATACATATATATGTAATATATTACATACATTTTGACTATATATTTACTTTGCATAAATCAATATATATTATAACAATTACTATGATGAGTGGTCACAATTGACACACCTTATATGAAAATATATACATATAAGATGGACCAACTAATATGTGATATATAATATAATTATATATATTTCGTTTAGAGTACTTTCATAAAAAAAATGAACAGGATAATATGATTTACTGTTTTGAGAGCATTGATTTGTTTAGTAGTATCTAATACACATTATATATATTTCTTTTAATAATTCTTTACTAATGATTTAGTAAATTTTCATTATATAAAAAGTATACTTATACTATACATATTCATATACTCTTAGTAATAATAACAATGATATACCTAAGGCAGCATCCAATATTTTATTACTAGCTGTGCTTCTAAAAGCAGCTGCATCACCCATTTGAAATGTATGAGTTGGACTTGACATACGTCCATCTCCTCCTTTGCTAAATGCAAGTACACGCAAATGATATGCTTTTCCAGGACTGAGATTGGTAATATCAGCTTCTAATTTTGAACCACCAGGTATAATAGTATCGTTTGCAGTACTCATATCTTGGTCTAGTTCCCAAACACGTATTTTATAACCTATTAATGGTTCTTCTTCTAGACTTGGTTGTACATAACGCCACACAACTCGAACTGTTGAAGGATTTACTCCATACACATTAACAGAAGATGGTGGCTTTTGTGGTGCTTTACGATAAGTTCTTTCTAAATATCGTTCGCTTTCAGGGCCCTCTCCAGCAGAATTATAAGCCATTACTTTAACATAATAATAAGTATCAGGTTGTAAACCAACTACAAGAGCCCAAGGTTTTGTACTTCGAGATAAATAATATACTGCATTTTCCTCTCCATTACTTTCTTTCCAGTATTTTATTCTATGACCTATCAATTTGCCACGTATTTTTTCACGTGTTTGTTCTATTGGTGACCAACTTACTTTTAAGCTAGTACTATTGTAACTATGTGCAACAACTTGTTGAGGAGCTACTTGTGGCATATCTTCAGCACTAAATATTGTAACTGCATTAGAGATTGGTCCAAAACCCAATGCATTAGCAGCTTGAACTTTAACTTCATACTCTGTATAATAATACTGCTGTTGTATTGAAACAACACTTCTCCCAGTATTACCATACTCTTTCAAAGATAATGATTGGAATTCTGTCTCATGATATTTTCGACGCCAAAAAACTTTATAATAAATTCCTGGACTATTTTGTTCAGATGGTGGTAAAGGATTCCATGTTATTGTAAGGTCTCCAATTTTTCCTCCTCCTCCACCTATATTGGATGGAAATTTTGTTGGTTTATCTGATGGAGTGCTATATTGTGGAGAAGGTGATGATGGTAAACTGTATCCTAATTCATTAAAAGCAGATACACAAAATTCATATGTAGTATAGGGATTTAGAACATTCTCCAAATAAGCTTCCTTTCTACCATTGTACCTATCTACTTCAACAGCAGTTATATCTGGAATAATATTTAAATTATATAAATTTTATTATGGAATTTATACGATCAAAGATCATAAATAATTATATTAAACATACTTTCTATGAGATTAAACCATGTGTGATTCCAATTTGTTCTTGCAATTATGGTATACATTGTAATAGGTTTGCCATTAAAAGCACCATCAGTCCAGCGTAAAGTTGTAGAAGTTTTTACAATATTTACAACTTGCACACCACCAGGTGGCCCTGGTGGTCCTTCTATTGTAATTGTGGTTTTACTAGAAATTTCACCTACTGCACTTTTAATTATGCATTCATATTCTCCTGCTTCTGCGAATGTAGCATTTATTATATTAAGTTCTTCTCCATCGATATTCAATCTAGGATTGTTTACTAAGTCTTCATCTCTTATCCGTAAACCGTTATGTTTCCAAATATAAGCTACATCTAGCATTTCATCTACTTCCCCCATGCAACGCAAAGTTTGATTTTGCATAACTGCTGTAGTAATATGTTGTGGTAACTTTTCCACAAACTGAGGACCACCTTTAATTAAAATCAATATTTAATTATAGTTCTATAAATAATAGTCACAAAGAATGAAATATATCTCCTTACGTAATACTATTAGCCGTCCGCGAGTTTCATCACCACCATATTGATTTGTTGCAGTACAAATATATGTGCCTTCATCATCTCTTGAAACAGGACTAATTATGAGATTGCCAGTTTCTAAAATTCTACGTCTACCACCAGAGCCAATTACATTTCCATCTTTCTTCCAAACAAATTTTGGTCTAGGTGCAGCTTCAGGATTGCAGAAGATTGTAACATTACCTTTTTCTGCTGCATAAGTTTCAGGTTCCATAGGCCGCTTTTTGAAAGATGGTTTCAATGCTATAATTTAAAATATTTGTATGAAAATGATACATTACTTATCAAAATCATTTGAAAAAAAAAAAAAAATAATGTTAATTATTATATATAATGAATCAATTTTTTAATGTGAATATTTTTTAAAATAAAACTTGTACTTTACTTATATTGTGTTCAAATTGTATATTTAAATAATAACTTACATAAAATTCGAAGTTGAGCAGATGAGTATTTAGTTCTTAATTGATTTTTTGCACGACATTGATACATAGCTTGATCTCGTTCTGGATCCAAATGTTTTATACTTAAAACATTGTCTTGTATAGAATATCGATTTTTATCTTCAGGTGGAAGCATTTCCATATCTAATATTTCACCATTTCTAAACCAATTATAAGTTACATCTGGTATTCCAAATGCTTCACAAGTCCAAGTTAACTCTCCTCTATTATCCATATGTTTATCTGTTAGTGGAATCGTAAAATTCGGAGCTGCTTGGATAGTTAGCCTTACAGAATTCTCAATTGACAATCTATCATTGTGAACTCTACAAATATATTCTCCTTGATCATCAACATGTATTTTTGGAATTATTAATACTCGATTATAACTAATTGTATATGATCCACGTGGTAATGATGTACCTCTCCTTGTCCAATTGTATGATGGAACAGGACTAAATTAAAAAATATAGTATGTAGTACAATTATATACAACTTTACAATAATCAATATAAATATTAACAAATAACAATATAAATATTACAATTTATCAATTTAAGGATTATAAATTATCATATAATGTTTTTTTGTATATATATAATTCTCAGTCATAAGTTTATTTAAAAAAGATTATTGCACTTACTATCCAAACGCAATGCATTCAAGTCTAACTTCTTCTCCTGCAATTGGAGCTTCTGGAAATGCTTTTGGGAAATTATTTGGAAACTTTAATTGCTGAAATGAAGCTGAAATGTAACAAGATTTATAAATATATAAAATATTTTGTACAAAAATATGTTTACATATTTATATCATATATTATAATTGTGTGTGTTGATATTATAGCTAATATGTAGTTTCATATTATATGTGTGTGCAATGACATTACAGATTACAAAAAAAAAAAGAAATAATTACAATGTGGATCAACCCTTAAAGGGAAAAATGGTCCATTTCGTCCAGTATCAGAAGCAACACTTTGAACATTGCAAGAATAATTGCCACGATCAATCATCTCCAATGCAGAAAAATAAAGTGCTCCATCATGAGAAACAAAGACACGCTTATCTTCTTCAACAAAATTAGGAAAATAATCACGTGCCCAATAATATTTTACTCCAGGAAAATGTTGTGGTGGATCACAATATACAGCTTTACCCCAATTTTGATCTCCACGTTCTTCTGAACGTTTGAAATTAAATTCTAAAATATATCCAAATGATAACTCCACACTTTCAGAAATAATTGTACCAAATTTATTTGTTGCTTTGCAATGATAAGAACCTCTATCTTCTGCCTAAAATCAAGTAATTAATATTTTTTAAGTAAAAGTTTTTAAATATCTGAGGTTTATAAAATTTTTAATTCATTTACCTGATCAGGTTCATAAATAATTAAAGTTCCACCACTGATTGTATATCTAGTATTATTTAATGGATCTATTTTTATTGCAATCAATCTATCATTTTCATAAATTTCTTTAAACCATTCATATGTTACTGCAGGATAAGCACTAGCTAAACAGCTCAATGAAACATCATTATTTATTTTTCTTTTTGATACATCAAATACTTTATCTGTAGGTTGTTTAATAAAATATGGTCCTCTAGGAATTTCATTGGGATTGTCAATTTCAATACCATATTGGTAAGTACGATCATCATCTATTAAGTTGAGTAAATTAGAAATTGGTGCTTCACAAATATATAATAGTTTCTCTTTGCCAGTTACTCTTTCCAATCCCCAACGTTGCAAATTATTATGATAAGAATACACTAAATAATCTCTACTAAGTGTTTCATCAACTGGTTCTGGTAAAAATGCATTATCCATATTTACTAATTGAGTATTATCGCCTTCGTTTATCCAGTTCCCATTTTGGTACTTTGCACCAGTGTACCATTTACGATGTTGTGGATCTTGCCATAATAATTGATATAATATAAATCCATGTTCTTCTAGAGAGGTAATTGTAACAAGATCACTTTGGTAAGCTTCACAATTTCTTTTAATTTCCTCTCTTTCCCAAACGATAACATGATTCTTGAAATTTTATCCAATGTTGTGGACACTGGTAATATACTTCTTCATATAAGATGTTTTGTGCAAATGCATTACTTGACACAATAACAATATACATTAAAATTTTTGGCACGCACCACATTATTACTTCTATATGATTGAAAAATTACTAAATTTATTCAAATTAGTTATAATCTGAAATAAGAATATATATTTACATTATTTTTACCAGATAAATTATATATTTAATATATATTTTATTCTCCCTATTTAAATATTACTAATAACTAAACTAATTTTAAATCATAAATGAAAATTGATATTTATTACAAGCTATAGGATTCATCATTCTTACTAAAATATACATTAAATTTAATTATATTATGAATTACAATATAAATAAACAATTATATATTAATACATTTCTATCAATAATATATAAATAATTCTTAACATACAAATTTTAGAGAAGTATGTAATTGTCTTATAATATTAAAATATATTAAAATTACTATATATTTGCAATTTAAAATATCAGTAAAATAAATAAATTACAAAACGTTAAAATATTTCCCCTAATATAAGATACATTATTAAAAAAAAAAAAAAATAATAATTATATTTTTATGTAAAATAATTACTTTATATACGTCACTGCTAATCAAATATTTTTTTTAGTATTTGACATATCTTTTAATAAATAAAAATAATATCTATTCTTATAATAAATAATAATGTGTATTAATTTCTATTTGATTATTAGACTATAAGAACTTTAAAATGACTTTAATATTAAAATGATAAAAGGGCTTAAGAAAATAATTAAATAATATAACAGAAAACAAACTCCAATAAAGTTAATTATAAAAAAGTAGTTTCTTCAAAGTACAGATAGAAATGTTTATAATGACTAGACAAAAGAAACGTCAGGGAGTGGCAGCATCCTAAACTAATTTTGCTATATATAATTAAAATTTTTTATTTTTTTTTAATTCTACTTCTATTGATTATGTTTTACCTTTATTTAATTTCCGTTTATGTGTGAAACATTATAAATTGTTATTTAGCAGTTGTAGAAATCAGCGTTCTTACTGTTGTCACAATGCATGACTACATGTGAGCCTATAAATTATATATACATGACATCGAAATTATGTTTCAGAAATACTTAATTACTACAAATTGTAACTCTAAATATAAAATTAAAGTTATAAAATGAAACTATTATTTCTATAAACGTTAGTATAATAAATATGTTAATGATTGTACATAATTAATTTATACTCTAATAACATATTCCATTTTATTGAAAATAAACCTTTAGTACATGAACTTCAATGCATTTTTACGGGTGGGGTCCCTTATATAGCTGTGTCCCCCTCTATACTGTATATGCTGTTGAAGAACCATGATATCTATAAATGTGATTCTTTCTTTTTTTTCGTTGTTAATACAATAAAAATCTTTCATGCATGTTACAGTTGTATATTTTCTCTTATCAGATTTAATCGACTTAGCGCATGCATTATTTAATTCTTTCAAACATATATTTAATTAGAATGCAACACGATTTGATCCTTTATCTAATCAACTTAAAAAGAAGCAATTAAATTTCAATTTCTATAAAGTACACAATTCATGCAAAATACGTGTTGATTGGACACAGCTACTGGATTGATTACCTTGGCAACGAAGGTAATATAGCAGAATTACAATTTACTTGTAGATATGACTTAAAGAATGCTTTCGCTAGTCAATATTTTCTAGTAGTAGAGATCATATGTTTTCTTTTTTTTCTGTGCATCTGTAATCACACTCTACTTTTTTTATTTGTTTAATTTCTCTCTCTCTCTCTCTCTCTCTCTCTTTCTCTCGCATGCATGCGCTATGTAAAATGTTTTCTTTTATTACGGCTAAACGTTACCAATATTTGTATTTGATTCCTTGGAATATTTGAGTTCTCAATGCTAATAAGATAAAATAACTTTTAATCATCTTACCTAATGTTTTATTATTTAAGTACACCAAACAGTATCAAATTTTTATTTTCTTTGAAAGTATAGTCTTTAAATTATACGAATTGCAATAACATATTTTTCTTAAAAGACAAAATATATAAAAATGTAGAAAACTAATTATGGTAAAGCAACGAAAATAAATAATTTTTTTTGTAAACATCCCTTTCTTCATCAAAATCAGTTTCTTTAATTTGATTTTTATATTATTGGACTGCTAATATTTGTAAATTTCAACATTAGTTAACATTAGTTAAGTTGGTTAAATTAGTTAACATTTGGATTCACGAAAAATAATGAATATACTTTATAAATTTTTAGGTATTGGTTTTGTTTTTGAAGATGGATGTTTTGTATAAAATTCTGCGTATAATCTTCTTTTTTCAATTTCTATAAAATGACACGAAGAAAACAAACTTCTATACAATAGATAAATAGATAATAGATGAAAAAGCCATCACCAAAAAATTTTTAATATTTTCGTAATAAGAAAATGCGCTTATAAGGTTTGAAGTTTCGGTTTTATGTTTAGGTAGCAGTATTTTTATTAAAGAATCGCAAAAATCGGTGAGTGATTAATACGAGAGTACTTTAAGGAAAGTGTGATCAAACTAATGCGACACAATCATTGGTAATTACTGAGGAAATGAAGTATGTATAAACTTTGTAATTTATTATTTTGGGTCAATCGATAAGTACTTAATTATGTACTATTTCAAGCAACAAGTATACAAGATGTTCTATTTAAACCACATACAATTGTTTTCCAAGCCAGAAAGTTTCAAACAATATTTTACATAAATCTTAACCTGTTTTGAAAAGAATATTTTATATTGATCACAAACAATTTATAACTGAATGAGCATCTAAGATTTCAGAGTGACCTTTGCCTTTTTTTTTATATATATTGAATTTATATATTGGAACTGTATATTGTTTGATAATTAATTGTACATCTCATACAGAGACAAATTCATAAATTTATAGCATTTTAGTCTCTCAAAATATAAGGTTATTTAATGTTTTCGCTAACTGGCCAGATTCATCACCAATAAAATATTGCTTTTTGTTTTATTTTAATTCATATTTTATATTACTTTTTCTTTAATTTCATAACTATTATTATGAGTTGCTAAGTGAGGAATCATAAGTTCATTTGATGGACACAAGCAGTTATATTATTATTTTTAATAATGTAGGTTAATGAAGTTAATTTTTAATGACGAATCGAGAGATTTTAATAAATTACTAACTCGATTAATTATGATTATCTCGTTATTAGGCTCTTATTCGTGTTATTTTATAAGAAATCTGAGCTATGATTAGAAATAGTTCACATACAACATATGTATAGTAGTGCACGCTGAATTATTACAGATTTGGAATTGTGGTGTGTCAAATATCTGTGAAAGTATTAGATATATATGTCCTTCCGAGAATTATTGGGTATCCTTTATGATTATGTTTGCTTCACTAGCTTGTGAAAAATAAAAAGATACATTTTCTGTTGCTTAACATTTCTCTAATTAGCAATTAATAAAAGAATGCAATACTTGAGAAACAGCAATTAGTATATGTCAAACGTTCATTGTGTATGTTCATCATATGTTCGTTTTAAATATCTACACATGATTATTTCTGTAAGTATCAGAAATGTAAATAAATGTTTCAAACCAATTTTAAGAAAGTTTCAGTAAAGTTTAAAAGATAATTACTGAATTATACTTGTGTAAGATACATGTATGAATAGTATTTTGGAAACATCTCAGTATTAGCTACAACAATATGTAATAAAGAATATAGGGTTCTGTTTAAAGATTTGAATATGACCTTTATAGAACTTTCCGAAGTTATCTCAAAGTCAAACAAATATTATCACGATACCTTACAACTTTTGTTTGAAACTTTTTTGTATTTTTGATACTTAAAGTAATCATATATAGACACTTACAACAGACATACGACAAATGTACATATGTGCTGATAATAATTATAAAAATGACATAAGTAAAAAATTTAAAAGAATTGAATTTGTGCTTTCTTTCCTTTTTCTGTTACATCCATTTACTCTATAATAATGTAAAACTACTTTTACAAAATAGCAAAAAAGAAAAAAACGGTTAGCTTGAGTTAGTTACTATATTTCAATTTATTTTTTAATTCAACATAAAATTTGTAAGATCTCGAATCAAAATCTATGGACATGATTTAAACCACTTTCATAATTACAGGCATATATGTATATATACAAAATCAACGTAATATTGAGGTGGTGTCATTAACAGAAGTTCAGATGTATTAGAAATGAATGAAAACTGTTGGTAGAGGAACATAGGATTTTTAAGTGTATTGGAAGAATGAAATATGTTTAGACAGAAGTTTGGAATATACATAAACAATTAAAAAATATTTATTTATATAAAACAACAATTTTCTACATATATTTATAATGTTATAAAAATATAATATGGACATGTATTAGATCATTGTTATCTTTTGTAATAAGTAATAATGTTTAATATTAATCTAATGTCTACTACCAGCGTGTACATGTACATAATGTATATACATAGTCCGTACATCATTATGTATAAAATATAAACTTATTTAGAACCTAAATAAGATTTAGAAAGGGAACTCAGGATGAGAATTAACTCCCTTAAATATAGTAAAATCACAAACCCTGCTAGATTCACCAAGATCTAGATTTTTTAATCTCTTCATGTCCTCTTCTTTGAGTTCCCAATCGAATAGTTGTATATTTTCTTTAATTCGTTTGGCATTTGTGCTTTTAGGAATAACTATGATCCCATTTTGCACAATGTAACGTAATAAAATTTGTGCAGGTGTTCTTTTGTTATTCTTTGCTATTTCTAGTACTACATCATTTTGTAGCATATCTGGGATTTCTTCCGTCTTTTTCATTAATCTAACTAAACCTCGTGCACCAAGTGGTGAATAGGCGGTTATTGGGATGTTTACCTCTTTACAATATTTTACCTGTAAAATATTATTTAAAATATACTTAATAAAATATTATTTTGAACATAAGCTGATGAAAATGTCTTGTTATAACTTAATCAATAAAGGAAAATACATTTCGAAAAATTATAGTGGATGTAACAGCAATATAATAAGATATATAAATAATAATAAAACAAGTGTCATTTCCGCATAGATACTATTAGATTCGTTAAAAAACAATGTCAATATTTTTAGTACAAAATAATAGTGACTTCCTTTAAAATAAAAGAAGATGTTTTACTGAATTTTGTAGTCTATAATTTTTTATCATCTTACGAGTTTTGTATAATTCTAATTAATGTATCTTTATATTTAATATGTTAAAGACACTGCTTAGTTCTGAAAAACAAGAGAACACTATCTATTACAAAAATCCAGTACTACTTATTGGCCAACCTAATATTTATAATTAACTTTAGCTAATTCTAATACATAATGGAAGACAAATTTAATATTTTTTTAATGTCATTCCTTAAAAAGTTATTAGTATTAAAATTCTCAATAAAATTCTAATATATTTTAGAGCCTATAAAAGGCGATTTGTAAAATTATAAGTTTACATATTATATTTATAAAAAATCTTACAAATGAATACCTTAAATTATAGTAAAATAAATTTTATGTTAAATAAATTTTTAATAAAAAATATGTTTATTTGAAGAAAAGATATCTTACCAGTTCCTTTTGTTGCATATAAACATGCAATTCAATTTGTAACATCGATACCTTTATTCTTGCGTTTTTCAAAACTCGCTTAATTTGAGAAATATTAAAATTTGATAATCCAATTGCTTTAGCTCGTCCACTCTCCACTTGCTTTTCCATTTCAGCCCAAATTTTTACAAGATCTGTATTATTATCAAGTCTTACTTCACCATTTTCATTCACAGGATGTAAAAGTTCTCCAACTTTCTCAAAACCAAATGGAACATGAATTAAATAAAGATCTACATATTCTAATTGTAGATTTTGTAAAGATTTTTTAATCCATTTTTCAACATCTTCTGGTCTATTTCCTACAGGAGGTAGCTATAAGGACAAAAAATAAAATATAATTTTTAGTAGCTTCTTATAACTTGATATCACTTTCGATCATTGATCTTATTAATTTTGTTAAGTTTTTTTTTTTATATTATGATTCATCAGTATTATTAATATTTTTTATGATGTGATATAAAAAATACAGATTAAATAATATGAGAAAAAGGTCAACAGAGTTATTAGTAAATGACGGAAATTACGTTTTCATTGATCACATTGTTAGAAATATATAAATATGATTAAAAATTAAAAAAAATAATAGTTAATATAAATGAAAAAAAATTAACTAAAAATTATAGTTAATTTTCGAAAAATTATCAAATATTATTATTACAGTAATATTTTCCAAAATTAATTAATTAAATTACTTTTTAAGAAAAATAATCCATTTCTGAACTAACACAGAAGTGAATTAATATATGTACTTGCAATTAAATGATTTACTTGTTAAAGCATTTTAATTTTCATAAAACTGATTTAATTATTTATTTAATTTAGTTTATATAATTATTTAATTATAAATTTAAATAAATGTTAAATCAATTTCACTGATTCAATTATATAATAATAATTTTTAAACAATTATGATGTTAAATATAGAAGATGTTACCTTTGTAACAACAAAAATATCAGATCGTTTAATTTTTCCAGAATCAAACCATTTTTTAAGAACAGTGCCAATTATTTTTTCATTTTCATATGCTGCTGCAGTATCAATATGCCTATATCCTGCTTCTAAAGCAATGTCCAATGCACTCTGCAATTCTTCTTCATTTGCCTAAAACATAATACAAATTTTTGTTTTTTTTAAACTGATTAATTTTTTGAAATTATATAAATTATACAATCAAATTACTACACATTTCTTATATCTATAGAAAAGTTGTATTGAAAAACATTAAAAGAAAATTATAACTTAGTACTATAAACAATGAATATTCATTTATCAGATTTATGTTTTATAGCAGCAGTTCTAAAATTTTCTTTCTACATATGTATATGTATGTAATTAAGTGACTATAGTAGTACCATTTTGTAACCACTATCTGTTCATTATAGAATGCCCCACTATGTATAAGTTTAAAGTTTTATGTAATTTGCTTTAGCTTATGTTTATCATAAGGAATGTTCAATGTAATATCAGTGATACGCTAGTTGAGAGCCACTGCTTGTGGTATTCTGATATGTTGGAGAAAACTCTCTACAAAAGTAAAATATGACGACGAGTTGTTTTTATTTACATTACTAATAATGTGTTATAAAAAATATCACGTTTTTTCACTCAGTACCAATAAACTTTTGTTCAAATCTTCTTTTTTTTTATCAAATTTAGCAGTAGATGGGTGAAAAATTGTACATTGCGTTATAAAGTACACTCTGTATACTTAAATGAATACTAGTACTTTGAATGTAATGTTCAATGTGGTATTTTTAATTAAAAGTTTAAGAATGAATATTTAGGACATTTTGTGGTAATATTAAATCTATCACAAAATTTATTTACATGTAAAGCTATTTCTATTGAACTGATTAAATGACTTCTAGCAAATTTCTAACAAACCGTCACTAGTAGAAACTATATTTTTTACAATTGAATACAGATAACAGCTAATTTTAATGTGAGCAATAATAAATAAATAAAATAATTTTTAAACGAATGTAAAAGTTCATTTTCGTCATTCTACTTTTTAATAAAAATAGAAAATAAAAAATAAGTAATAATTGCATAACTTTGTACATTGAAAAAATAATAGTAGAGATTTCATTTTTGTTCATATATTTTACAGATTATAGATTTCGTTCTTGTAATTTTTCCATAAATATATTAGTTAGAATTGAAATAGATTTAGATCAGTTTATTATGGTTATAATATTTTATTTCATATAACACAAACGGACATAAATTTTTCAATCAATCAATCGAACGACAGTAAGTAGATGAAGTAGGTTACGTTATGTAGCCTACATATGCATCCCAGAAGAAATGGGATGAGAAAGGTAGACATAGTGGCGTACCTAGAGCTTTTGTCGCCTAGGGCAGTTCCTCAGTTTGTTATCTCTTGCAATACATTAAAAATATTGTAAGTGTTAATCATATTACGCAGAAAATTCGATACAATCGTTAGGACACTAATTATCGAAGATAGTTGCTAGAAACTAATTATTAATCGAATATTAAAAATTACTAAGTTAACATGAATAAAAGAAAAACAAAATTGTCTCTCGTGAGTATTATAAGATAAATGTACATGATTACATATATATTAACAGTTAAGTTTACAAGACTTCATGTATATTACAAAAAAAGTCAAGTAATGAAAACGATAACATAAATTGCAAAAATTTTTAATCAAAAGCTCAAAAACGGTTATATGACCGGTTATGGTAGGTTTACAATTAATATTAAGCAGTTGAAAGATATTTCAATAATTGAATCAAAATAATTCATCATTCGTTGAACGAAGATTAAATATTAAAGCTAATAGTTTATTGATATCTACAAAAACATTAATAATAATTCTGGATGAAAAATAAAGAAACTGGTATATAAAGTATATAGTAATTCATTGGAAATAACAAATTGAGAAATTTTTTAAGTAAAAAATTGCCTTTTAGACGTAATATAATCAAGGTTACATAACAATAGGATAAAATGTATGTGTAGATATTTGACTATTACCGTGTCTACTTTTTCTTAAAATTATTTAGAAAATTTAAGCAATTTAAGAAATATTGAACGATATAACAGTCAAAATGGAAAACATAATTTTAAGAGAACGGAAATACATAGAGTGAGTTATAGAATATAATGACCCAAAGTAACTCGTAAAAAGAGAACGTATTATTCGATAGTATAATAGTATAATTAGTTTTATGTTATTTTTCTTTTTTATCGAGACATAAAAGTAATATTTATTTATTTATTTTTCAATGTAATGTCTAAGTTCTTTTTCCAAATTTTAATAAAGAATCAAACTAAATAAAAAAGTATTATACGAAATAAAGTTTAAAATTACTAATATCAGGAATCAACTAATACATATGTAAGTATATGGTCCGTAAACGGAATCATAGTAAAGTTATCAAATTTGATATCACCAATCTGACTCGTAATATTTATCTTTTACTCGAAATTGATAGAAATTTGACCCGGATTTATGATCACGTGTCACACTCATTATAAGCGAAGAAATTAATCGTCAATAATATCAAAAGATAAGATATTAATGTATTAAATTCTATGTTGCAATATATATATATGTATGTATATGCATATCAATACATTATTCTTATTTTGAACTTTTCTATTATTTTTGTATTGAATTAATATAATATTTACTTTTTTATTCATAAATATTTATTTTTATATTTCATTTCTTGATCATTTTCACAATCTACGTAACTGTATATGAAGAATAAAAATTTTTTATAAAAAAAATTTTATTGGATATAGAAAAGCAGTTCGAGAATATTATTGTATCATAGTGTCATATAACCATGGACTGGTTGTATCTAGGTTAGTATCTCGTCATGTAAACATCTAATACATATATGTATGTATGTAAATATTTCCTGTGAAAGTTTTTGTTTGAAAAGAGATTTTTCTTTAGAAAAATGAGCAAGTCAAAATTATGTTTATATAAAAAGAAGTAACCTGCCATTAAGTATTGTATTTTTATGCATCAGTTATTTGGAAATGTTCATATAACTATTAATAGATTTCGTTATTAGTATTTTCCTTGTTGCTATAAGAATACTAAGTGAAAATTAAAATTCAAAATGTTTGAAACTAAACAAAAAATTATCGATAATTGGGCTTTAATTTAGAAGTTAAAAACTATGTAAAAATATATAAATCATAGGCACTAATTAGACACTAATAAAATCTCATTATACTACAATAATAATAAATTTTTATATATTAATATAATAACATAAGTAGACAATATTTATTATTGTTATTATATTATTATAAAAAAAAGTTAGCTAATTTGAACAAATTGATATATGAAGTATATGTTAATTAATGTTTCTTGTTTAATTGATCAAATATTATATAAATTTACATAATGTTGAAACATTCTTCTTTATTTAATACTTTTGTAAAATGTCAAAAGGTACTTAAAGTGAATTGATCAGAAAAATGGATCTGTATCAAATACTATTATATATAACGTTCATCATATAACTACAATTGATTTGTAACGTGTAAATTTTATGGTAGCATTTGTGTTACTCTATATATTCCTCATCCAAGATAAAGAAAATAAATTCATAATATCTATTATTCCTTTTCTATTTAGGTATAATTTATATAAAATCATAATATACCACTAATATATATAATTTGCAAAATAAGTATAATATAACAGTTTATAAAAATTTATACAATATTATATTATATTGTATTTACATAATAGCATTTATATAATATTGTATTATATTTCATATAAATCTGTACAATTTATTTATTTAAAATATTTTTTTATTTCAACAAATAGGAACTATATAAATTTTTATTCAGTCTATGATATTGGAAAATCACTATTTACAAAATTTTAAGTTAAAAAGTAGAGAACATCAATACATGTTTTCATATTAAATCAGCTGCATTTTGAAACAAATTTCTCTTATGCATAAATTATTATTACCTTGAAATTATTTATAAGATAAAAAATGAGTACGATGTTCATTGTTATTTTGCATTCGATATAAATAATTTTATTTCTTTCTTTTATCAAAATTTCATGTTAATATGTATTTTTAATTTCAATGCTGTTTCTGTAGATATTACTGAATGGTTCTTAAATTTAATAAATATGATTAAGAAAATTTTTGATGATTATAATTAAAAGTTATTCAATCAAAAGATAATGCTATGTTAATATTGTAATAAAAATTTGTAATAAAAATAATTGTAAATATCATACAAAAAATAAAAACTTATTCTATGAAAATTTAAATTAATAAAATTAAATACATTAAAATATGTAAATATGCAAAATGTAAAAAGAGTATTTAAACTAAGAATAAGTGAAAAAACAGTGTTTAAAAACCAAGAGTTATTAATATTGAAGAAGTTGATTTTTATATTTAAATTTACTTCTAATACTATAGTAAAAATAATTTTTCTTTCGAAATTTCATAAAATAAGAATTTTTATTTTGAGTATATATATTGTAAAACTGTACCTGCCATGTACCAAATCCAATTATTGGCATTAACTGCCCGTTTGGAAGTAGAATGGCGTTCTTCTCCATTAGTTCTGTGCAGGAACTTTGTGGGCTGACTGAATAACTGAATATCGGCACCGATCTTTTAAAACAGCTTCACTTTCACCTTAAGCCTTTACTACACTACTTGTTCTTGTCCTTCATGCATCCGATAATTGGAACAATCTTTATAACTTCTTATTCAGGATATGCATTCTTCCGTGACTTTCAAGGTTTATTGTTTATTCACACTTAACACGTAATAATAGCAACAAATATTTCATCAAAGTTTCAATACTAAATTGTTTACGTACGCAATATTACATAACAATTAATATGATAACGTTTATTTCTTAGTTTCGTCAATATTTCGCTTTATAAATTTTTTTTATAAATTCGAATTATTCTAGAGGATTGAAAAATGAGATAAAGAAAATAAATATTGTTTCTGCTATAAGTATAATAATTAATCAAAAGATAATTATTAATCAAATTTTTTTTTAAATTACGCAAATTTGAAATTTATTAGAAAAATAATGTAATATTTCTATTTTCATGTAATGTACGTTTAATTCCAGATGTTAAAGTATCAGACAGAAAATAATTTGCAATGAAAAAGCTATAAATTCAAGGAGATAAGTGATTTGATAATGTATCGCTGTGTAAATTGTGGAACAGCGATTGAAGAGCTATATAGAAGATATTCACCAAATGTTTTAAAACTTTTAAAATGTGTATGTTACGTATTATTTATACTTATCTCTTGGTAGAATTTAAAAATGAATGATAATAATTACAATTTTCGAAGTAACTGCTTGGCGAAAATATAAAAAATATGCGTTAAATAATTTAACAAATATATGTATATAGTATTTGTATTTAATAGGAAGCAATTTTCGAAATAGTAATGTTTTTTAAGAGTATTCTTTTATTAAAACATAAAAGCAAATAAACTTGAGTAAAAAAATGTTACAGTTATTAATGCATATAACGGACAATAAATAAAAAGTGTAAAATGTTTTTATTCAACTTTTTGGAAGAATATTTTGTAGGTTAGGTATATCTTTGTAATAAGAGTTATTTCTGACATTTCTATCATTTTCCATCGAATGCACGTTAATTTATGTTGAGTATATTTCATTGTTATAATATTTTTATGTAACACATATTTATGGAGTTTCAGGAAATGTGTGGTCTCTTATTGTTAGTATCAAGATGTTAAGATATGTGGTTTCTCTATACTCTCACATATTAATACAGTAAATTGTGTAGGAAACAATTAATTTCACTATTTTTAAAAAACAAAATCTTGTAAAATATTGTAGAAATTATTATTTACATTTATCTTTCTTATAAATTTTAATTATGCTATTATACACGTTAAAGGATAACAGGGTATGATATTTTATATACAGAATGGACTATTTAAATGGAATCAACCAAATATGTCTGATATTCTTAAACGTATAATTTTATTCGCAGAAATTGTTTTGTGAGGTTCTACTTAATGTAAACTCCAAGCTAATACATTGTACACTTGTCTCGCATTATAGCAAGATAGTCAATTTATCGCTTTGTTGCTCCTATAGTACTGCAGGATTTTACTATTACTATATGTCTCCATGTTCCGAATGTTCTACGTGAGTACGTATTGTAAGCCATAGCTAAGTGTACTCGGTGAATATTTAAAGTCAATTTTCTCGAAACCGAAACTTCGAATTAAAAAATTTTATTTTTTTTTCTCGATTCGTTTTTGCACGTAGAATCATTTCCTTCTCGGTCGTACTACCGTTGCTAGGACATCTTATATAATGACGACTTCTCGACTTTTCTGATATTACGTCTTATAAAATCAGTTTCATACTGATAGATTGTTATGTCAAGTAGTTACTCATGTGCCTATGCGTTATTGCACGCAAGATCGCGAATCGGTCTTGACTTCCTTACATCCAAAAATAGTTTGTTTTAAAGGCGGGAACCTTTCGTATATTACTTTTAAGACTTCAACTACTTACTATTTAAGACAAAAAAAGAGTCGATTTTTTCAAAATTTCAAACTGTCCTGTCCCCTTAAATTGTAATGGTCCATCTCCATTCTTCTCCGACCACTCAGTATTTTGAACTCAACATAACCTAATATAGTTGATAAGGAGACGGAATCGGTAAAACTAAAAGAAAAGGGACTGATATAGTACAAAAACATGCCGCCATTGGAAATTTCATCTTATTTTATCTTATCTCTTTGAAAATAGTATCAATGCATTACTGGGATATTTCCGATCAAAACGAGTACAAACATATAAATCGGACTATATTATTATGTTATTACGTATTATTTTATTCCCTACCTGTAAGAGCAAGCGAGCTCTGGTTACCGATAAGGCGGCGTGAGTGAGGAGCACGCAGCGGCGAACGAAGTGCCGATCCGCGAATAGACAAAAGAAGTCCACTTTTAAAAAGGACAAACCGAGAAACAGACATGACAGTTTTATGTGAGAGACGAGAGAATACTATAGGAGAGTAAAGTCCGATCAGCCACTAAGAATGAAAATAATTTAACCCAGCCATCTCCTCTTCTCCCTTTATATTACATCAAGTTAATTAATAATTATAATTAATTTAATTTATATTTTTGGAAAATATATTTTCCAAATATATTGTTGGAACTCATTTTAACCGGAAGAATCCTACAATGTATTGGTATCACTTTTACAAAGATGACATAAAAATTAGAAAAAAATGATCGTCGTTGCTCATTAATTACTATAACTTACTATAATAATATATAGCAATTTATTATTATAATAAATTACTTATAATATTATAATTCTACTCTGTTATACGTAAGTAGAATACAAAATATTTTTCTACAATTTCTTTCTATCTTCAATAAAAACAGAATTATACTTAGGCCAGTTACTTAGTATTATCTGAATAAATTTAGGATAATTATAGAGCGCTACTCATTCTCCTTGTTTATCGTTCATCGTTTTTCGTACATATCGTTCGTTTGTACTTAAGTCTAATGAGCAGCAAAAATAGTATTCATTACTTCAAACTATAAATGGGACCAAATTCTGCAGCAGTTCTCAACACTTGTCCTAGTAAAAAAATTAATAACAATTACAAAAATAAAAGTCTTACCAATTTATAAAACAGATAATCAGTATTAGTAGAATTATTAATTAATTAACTTTGTCCACGATTATGAAAATTATAATTGATTCAGAAAACTTTTTTTTTTTGTAAAAATAAAATTGTTACTTATACTTTTTGTATTCATATTGATTTTTATATGCTAAGAATATTTTATATAGTTATTTCTGATTTTTTACAATATTTATATAATAATTGGAAAATTGCTTCTTTACTTAAACTCATAATGTATACTATATTTCTGTTATACAAGATATTTTGTAATTAGTTTGTAACTGTAAATACACACATTTGTAAATAATTAAATGATTAGATATGAATTACAATAAAATTATATGTACTAACATACAGTGAATCATAGAAATATTCATATCTTACTAATTGCTCACTTCAAACAATTACTATTTTTCTATAATGCGAGTTTAAAAATTTTTATCTGTAAATTTTATTAAAAAATTTAAAAAATATTAAATTTTCTTTTGTATTTAATAATTAATCTTTACTCGTTTCAGGAAACATGTGGTCTTTTAGCTGATAAATATATTGAATACGATCCGGTGATAATTTTAGTTGATCTAATATTGCTTAAAAAACGAGCATACAGGCATTTGCTTTACAACTGTGATATAACACCCAGTTGGAAACTAGTAATAATTTTGTGGCTTATCGAATCTTTCAGAAATTTCCTTTTATGTAATAATAATAAACAATATGTTCAATATTGGAGGTTATTCCAACTTAATTTTGATAAACATTGTAGTTTATATGTAATACTGTTCAACACTGCCTTCGCTCTCGTTACTTTCGTTTTTACTGTAGTTTTGTTTACTAAAGTCAGATGGTATCTTTATCCGAATAATTCAGACAAATGTAGTACGACACTTCTCATGAAAGCATTAGTGATTGGTGGATCCGGGAAGTTATTAGGATTATTAGAAATCACCTGGGGACATATTTTTCTGACACCTCATTACTTGCTTATATTGGGATACACTCTTCTCTGCTTGCTTACAGCTTATTCAGGTAAGAAGTTTTATGCATTTTATTTTGTTTTATTTATTTAAAAAATAACAATGAAAAACACAATATGCAATAGTACCTTAGAAATTGACCGAAATTCGTCAATTTACTAATTTGAATGTAAGCAATTTTGAGGAATTTTCTCAACAGTGCAATACTCGTTTTTAAACGTATTAAACATAAATTTATTTATTTTTTTTTTTGTACATTTTTTATAAATGTAATTACAATTGGATAAACCCAGGTAATGAAAGTTTAAAATTCCTTATTCTCTGTTTATTCTTTTGTCATGTTATTGTGTATTTAAAGAGATTATGCATATAATGCCAGAACAGTGCAATTATTCGGAAGAATTCAGGTTAACGATGTTAATGAATATACATGAGCATTTCGTATATAAAATAAATTAAACATGCATAAAATATAATTACATAAAAATTTAATTGTATTTTATTTGAGAAGTATACATGTATACAAGGCAATTAATTTATTTGGAATGATTAATTCCAAATCACAGAAATCACCTAAAAATAATTTCTCCAAACAAAAATATCCACGCTTTAAGTACGCTTTTCTTTAAGTCATGAAAATTATAACCATAGTTTTCTAAATTGAATTTATTTTTCTAACTAAAAATTACAATTCTCTGTTACAGCTGTTTATGAATGATTTTTAAACCACTTTAATGAGTTTCTATTTCATAAATAATTTTTTAATTTTATTTATGTAATATATTTGGAATAGAATTATTTGAAATTATTTGTTTGATAAATTTGTCAGGTTTCAAAATCTAATAAATAATTGTTAAATTAATTATAACTTCTTTACTTCAATGATATAACTTATAATAATTTTAAAATGAAGAGTATTATTAGTATAGTTACTAGTATAATTACATATTTCTCATATTGTTAATTTTTATAATGATATAATTTTCTAGTAGCAAAAACAAGATTGACTCAATTATACTTTTTTATAATGTCTTCTTTTATTTCTTTTTTTTAAATAAACACAAGTTTGATCAAATGTAAAATAAATATTTTTGTTTGTATTCCTTGTTAAATAATCACTAATAGAAAGTGTAAAAACTAAAAACATAAAGTGTGGTATCATTTTTAATAACTTAAATCAATCTATATTTATTTCTATAAATTTTTTTGTAATATACTAAAAAGTTCAGTATATATATATTGATCTTTCATTATTTAATTTTGTCATATACTATGTTAAAAAAAATGTTACAGTTGTTTTAATCAATTAACTTATGAACGTAATCTTTAATATGTGTTCATCTATATTATTGTATTTAAAATAAATTATAATTATTATTAATTTTTCTATATATTGTATAATTTCAGTGATTACCAACAATGAAAAATTGGAATCCATGATGATTTTGGGAATAGGCATTGTGGTCTACAACTGTGCATATAATTTCTCTTTAAGGATTTTGGAAATTTTAGAATTAGTTTAATCATTTATTTTCAACTCAATTTGATTTTATAATTCTATTTTAGTTTAACATAATATTAAACTAAACTAAATAAATATATTTATAATATACATATTTAACATTCCTTAAGAGGTACAATACTCCATCCAAGAACTAATCTATCAAAACCACAAGAGAACAAATTACAGACTCCACTATCTTCTGCCCAAGCTACCGACGAGACCATTCTTCGGTGACCCTGAAATGAATTTAAAAATTAAACATAAGCATCTATAATGTAAACATTAGATTTATTAGATTAAATAAGAATATGCAAGGAAAACCATTAGATGGTAAAATCCTACAAATACATGTAAGGGTAACACATTAGATGAAATTATTTAATGCTAAAAGAGACATTACAAGCAATAAAATATTTTGTTGAAAATAATTTATTTTGAAACTTCAAAATTTCCAAAATATCTTGACAACATACATATAAGGATATTAAAATATGAGATATTTCATGAAATATTGATCTTTTAAATTTTAAGATTATCTTTTAATATTAAGATTCTACTAGTCGAAGCCTAGTAGAATCTATATGCTACAAATAAAAATGTATATTATCTTATTAAAAAAGAAAAAAAGATCGGCTTAACCTTGATATTTTCAACAATTTCATATATAAAAAGATTATTTCCATTATACAATATGCATTTCTATTTAAAATAATTTTTACACTTTTTAATCCTTTCAACATTTTACAAGATATTTTTGTATTCTTCATTAGGAAAGCACAATATTCATTTTCATATTGTTTCAATTTGTGTATTTTTATATATATTAAAATAAAATAAAATAAAATATACATTTTTGAGAAATTCAATGAGAAATATCTTACATATGTATTACAGATCAAACTTTTTCTCACCTGTCTACTGGTTCTAGGCAATCTAGCTAAACGTTGACCACTCAGATCAAATAATCTAATTTGTCTATTATCATGTGGTATTGCTACAATGCCAGTACTTGATACTGCTAATCGATTTGCAGCACTGTCCCCTCGAATTGTAGCTAATGGACTTCGTATATTTCGTAATTCCCATATTTTCACACTTCGATCGTCCGAGCCGGAAACAATTTTATCCTCACGCGTGAAGACTGCTGATGTTACAGTTCTGTATTAGAAAGAAAATGATGATAATGATAATAATGATCAGATATTTTATTGTACAAGATGAATCATTAAACTTAACAAAATCATTCATTACCATGTACAATTTTTTCAATTTAATGACTGTTATATTAAAGACTCGTATAGGACGAAACAATTATAGACCAAATCCTTAACCAATTAATGAGCAAGATTTAAATTATATCTTCTCTGGTTTCTTGCATAACTTTCATATATTTTCTATTCAAACAAATAAAAATATGATAGTAAATTTACTTACTCAGTATGTGCTTGGAAAACAGAAACTGAGTGAATAGGCTCCCTAAAATCCCATAGACGGAAAGTGCTGTCTTTACTCGAAGTAACACAAAGTCGTTGCGTATGATGGGTTGATACATGAGAAAGTTCTTGATCATGTCCACATAATGTATGAATAATTTCTCCAGTTTCTACATCATAAAGATTTGCAGTTCTATCCCAGGAAGCAGTGACTACTTGTTCCGCATCAGGTAACCAATCCGCAGCCATTACGACACCTGTATGGCCTAGCAATTCTCGTACTGGAGTTCTATAACATTTCATAAAATAGTATATATAATTAACTGTAATTCTTAGTATATTGGCTGGTTTCAAATTTTGATATTAGCGTATCAACTAACAATAATCGCAAAACGATATAAAATTCCATTTTTTGTTACTCAAGAACATAATACTGAAAATTATAATTCGTAATTTAAAAATTCCAAAAATAAGTCTTCTATTATAATATTAGATTTTGAATAAAATTACTGAAAAATGAAAATTTTTGTAAACTAACAATACAATAAATACAGTGTAGCCATAAAATTACTTAGCTAATAATTTTTGAAAATAAGAAACTCATGTCCAGTTTAAAATTGTACAAGTGCTTTAGTAAATGTTATAAGTTTACAGATGTTTGAATAATTACTAAATTATTTATGTATTACCTTAATGTAGGAGGTTCTTCTTGTTCTTCATTCAAAGCAATTATACCACTAAGGTTTCTATCAGAACTTAATCCTGAAAGATCCTCAGATGAATTCTGTCTTTTGGGTAAATCCCAATCCACAGCAGCTTGCCATACATGAGCAGAATTATCTCCACTCGATGTAAGTGCCAATTCTTTGGTAGGATGAAAACGTACAGAATTAACAGAACCAGAATGACCTATAAATGAAATTTTAATTAGTAATTTACTAATAATAGAATTGCAATAATCAAAAATATACTACCCTTAATTATTGTAAATAATTAAACAATATTATGTAAAATTTTATAAATGTATCAATCTTATAATATAACTTAATAAATGAAATAATTAATATATGCTGATTTTTATGTAGACTTAGTATATTAATAAAATATTGAATTGATATTTTTGTAGTCAAATTAATTCATTATTCAAAATTTATTTTTTTATTTATATCAATATACAGAACTCTAAAAAAATGTAGATACATACTAAAATTGTAACTTTTTTAAGAATAATTTGATAAATAAAAGAAGATATTGTTTTGAAACGTAAAATATAATAAAATATACAACAATATGTAAACAAATAATTAAGAAGAAAACAAACCAATATATTGTAGTAGGCAACGTCCACTATCTGTGACCCATACTTTAGCACTATGATCAGCAGAAGCTGTAGCAATGATTTGACCTGATCTTCCAACAGAAACTTCCCAAACACCATCTCGATGCCCAGAATATTCTCTTTGCATACTACAAGTCATTGTTGGTGTTTTAAAACTAGAAACTATTTTACTAGTCTGAGCTTTTAACTTATTAGAAGTTGTTTTTGTTTTTGGTGCTGCATTTCCTGCCATGGCTGCAAACAATTAAAATTTTAATATTTGAATCAAAATTAAAGGAGAAATTTTAAGTTTATTTGTTAATAATATAGAGCTTTACATTTACATACATATTAAAATAGATAGTTTTTGAATCTTTCTCTTCTTTTAATGATTACATCTACCTTTATCAAATTTCAATATTTTTGTCTGTTGCAAATGTTTGTTTTGCATTTATTAAAAATAATTTTATTCATATTACATTTTACTCATAAAATAAACAAAATATTATTATTATAGTATTTTACACATGGCAAAAAGAAAGAATTCTTAATTTTTATATCTTATGTAGCTTAAAATATAAAAAATTTTTTTGTAAATTAAATTATTTTATAACTACTAAATATTTTTTTCAATATACTTTTATTTTTTATTGTATACTAATCTACTTATGATACAAACATATTTAATTTAAACCTTATTAAATTTGTAAAATATGTAAAAAGAATTACAACATTTAATTGATAAATAAAGTTTGATAACATAGGTACATAAAAATTTAACACAGTTACATAAAACAAATAATGTTTATCTATCTGTAACATATTAACAAAGAACAAAATAGAACATTTTAATTTAATAATATAAATTTTGTAAGATAAATTTTTTTTATAAATATTTACTAGATTCGATAAATATTGATTTATATATTATATTATAGTTATTTTAAATATCCATAATAATTTAAGTTGACAATTATTCAAAATAAGAGACAAGTTAAAATTTTTAAATAATAAACATTCTTACATTTTTGTTTGGAAAGACTTTTTGTATCTGGAAAGTCTGCAACATCTCCAAGAGGTAAGCTCCGTTCTCCAGAACCATAACATTCTCTTTCAAGCCTCTCATTAAGAGTATCTATCTTCTCTTGTACTAGATTAATATATATAATATTTAATTAGTAATCAGTTAATTTACAGAATATTTTTTTTGAAACATGCAAAAAGATATCCTTAAGTTTGAATTACAATTATATTATAGGAAATATAGTATAATTAATTTAAAAAATGAATAATAGTTAACATAAATTACATAAAAATAAAAAAAATAATTACTTTATGCATAAAATAGTTTTAAGTAAATGTAAACATAATTGATGTTTTGGCTTTTCATTCTTATATGACCTTGACATATTTTAAAATTAAATTCAAGGTCTTGTAAATATATTCTTTTTGTATTATTATACATCTAAAACAATATTACAATAGCTCACATAGAAAACATAAAATTATATTTGTTATAAAATCTTGTTAATCATTTACAGATATATTTTTATATTAAAGATAAAATTTTTTGACATTTTATTATGTCAATATTCATTAAAAAATCATTGTTTCTAATTATATAAGAAAAATTAATATTCATACATCCTAAATTTTCTGTGTAGAGGACCTCAAATTCTTTTTCTATTTGTTGAAATAATTCAAATAGTCGACATCGCAAAGTTGGTGGTAGTACACTATCATCAGGGTCTGTACGGAAAGCTGCATAATGAAGTGCAGTTGGTTGCAATGGAGTAGATCCACTTTGTGATTGCAATTCTGTATCTGTACTACTTTGGACTCTTGGAATAGAAATACGTTTAATTTTCCCAGAGCTTTTATTTCCACTAGTCATAGATGGTTCTCCAGGCATCTTTGGTTCTGAAATAATAAAAATTTAAGATAATGCACCTGCTCATGTAATCTCTTCTTTTTTTAATAGAATATGTACAATATTACCAATACTTATAAATACATAATATATTATACTGTGATATATTTTAAATAATCAATTCAAAACAATTAAAATTAATCATGTAATGTAAATAATCAATAAGTTAAACAATTACAAACTGTATAATAGACTGGTAAGAACCATATAAAAATTATTTATTTAAAAATAAGATTATGCAAAATGCTGAATCATTGCAAAAGGAGCAAAACTATAATAGTAATTATACTTATAAAGATTAATATAATTCTACATATAATAAAATAAAAAAATATTTT